CAGTGTCCTCCCATAGAGAAACATCGTCCCAGAAAAGACCAAATAGTCTACAATAACCTCGTGGATGAATTTCGCATCGAAGATAGTCGTGGATTCTATGAATATCATCGCATATACTAAAGACTGAAAAGATTCAAGGAAGAAGACACAAGACTTATAAAAGCCAATCCCCATTTTATTATGCAACCGTGTTAGCTATCCCACATAGTACCACATATTTCAACAGAAAATCCGAAAATATTCTTTCCAATAGCACTTACTGCTATTAGTGCAATCAGTAATGTATGAGAGACGTAATTATGGAATTACGTTGGAAAGAAGCAAATACTTTAACTGAAATTGAGTAAAATAAATGGTCGGTCATGACACAGTCATGCCAGTCGTACGATAATGTCCCATGTAAAGCTAAGATTCTTGTTCATCACATTTTTTTAACTACTGTCATATTTTTGGATGGAATTCCAATTGTTCTCTGGCTCTCACTTTGACAACCAGGGCTTAAATAATGTTTATGTCATACAGTCTGAAAAGACCCGAGTCTTTGGCTGTCAGTGTGAGTGTGTTTGCTTTCCTGTTCGTTTGGATAATCTTTGGTTTTAATGAGGCCCAAGTATTAATTGCAATGCATATCTTATTTCTGCAATACAATTATAATATATAATGATAGAATAATCGCCATTTAGACAGTCAGGTAATATGTAATCATAGTTTCTTCTCCCTCTCTAGCTGGGGTGAAGGAACAACAAAGCGATGCCGCTCTAGACAGGGTTTTTATCTGGCTTTCTGTCGCAGCTGGGAAGATGCCCCTCTGTAAAGGAATCCCTGAACAGACTAGAATAGTGTGACAGCCCCTTTTTTGCACTCTGAATTCTGCACCGACGTAAATCACTTACGAGTCGGATCTTCAGTAACCAATCACAGCTTTTGTTTCAGGTGACTTTTATGAAATCTTGACCAATCACATGCCGTAAATGGTAATCAGCTGAATTGTTTATAAACACAACACTATCCACCCATGGCTTAATGAAACTTTTCAATTAATGTTCTAGAATTATTAATGCAGGACTTATATGTGATTTAGTAACGGAGTATTGTCTCCTCGAAAGGATGGCTAATATTGCAAGACTAACTCTAGCTTTGATTTCCATACCAATTACCAATTCAACAAAAATATTTGGAATATAATTATACAGGTTTAATTATACCTGTATATATGAAGTAATCTCCTTTTTAAACTACATTAACAATAATTAAATAATGATTTAGAAAAGTAATAATAGAAACGTAAATGAAACCATGACATCCGTGGCGAAGACAGTAGTTATACTAGTTTTAGTGTTTGCCTTGCTTATAGATACTACACTTGGGTTGGAGCGAGATACACGATTATTGACGAAAACAAAGGACATTGTTATTGGAATATTACACTTACCGCCTTATTTAGTAGCCCACGACTGGTTCATACACAACTAAAAAACATAATTGAGCAAAACACTAGTTGTAAGGATGTACTAATTGTTCAAAGGCTGAAAAAATGCCATGGCTCGCTGTAACCTGCTAGGGATGCTCTCCCCTGCCTTACTCTACGGTGCCTTGGCTGGTACTAGGGTCCTTTTCTCTGCGCATGGGCCGTAGGGGCACGGCTGTAAGCTACATAACCGTAAGGAGATAATGGTGCCAAATAACGTTTGATTATTCGTCCCTTGGACTGTGTATCTTTTTGATATCTCAGAATGATGAATCGATATTTGATGTTCAAGTTTTTTGCAGCTTGTCAAACTTCTTGTTATTAATTCATACTAGATCACCACCTCGTGCCTATTGTACTTATTTTTTCCACCAGAGAAGCCTAACTGTTTTACAACGGAAATGCGTTAAATATATCTAGATCATGCTGTATCTAATCAAAGAAACAAACCTTGAAATGGGAGATTTTTTTCGATTTTGTTTGTCACTGGAAATATCTGGGAACTTTTACTTTCAAACATAAGGTGTCTCAATTAATTCATTTCCTTTTGTATATTGATAATAGCGTGTATGTAAAGTTTGAATGTTTTATAACTGATAGCAATGCATATTATGAATTTTAAGAGAAATCTTGTAAAGTGAATTACATTAGACATGCTTATATAAATCCGCCAAAAATATATGTGTATATATTAGGAGAATGAATACCGGAATAAGTTTATGAAAACACCACCACATCAGCTCAAAATCTAAGTGCTGACCGATTTATGTAGTCAGAAAAATGTGTCGTTACCTTTACTTTCAGTCAAGCTTTCAGTCAAGCAACTTTTGGTAGCCCCTCCCATCGGTAGTTGCCATATGGCGATCTTTTTACGTTAATCGAGGACCGAGACTAATGAACAAAATAATCAAAGTTTACATTCCGATGACCATGCGTTCTTTTGCCTGTGTATTTATAATTTTGCTTATCTTTTATTATCTAAAAATGAATTAAATATTTTTATTGTTTCAGTCTCATCATGACTTTGATGGCGAATAAGAACAAAACATTTGTCATCATCTCCAATACCCGTTTAACAAGATTTAACTGTTATTAGGTATACACGGGTTTAATGTAAAGCAAAATACAGCTCTGCATGACCTCTGACGAAGGGCATTTCACCACCCAAAATAGCGTATGAGATTTCTGGGATTTCCGAAAGGATTTGTAAGGGATTTCAGAATTTCGAGGGATTTCAAAGGTGTTGAATTCATTAAATTATCGTAGATGTTTCAAGAACTAAGCTGTTATCAGTTGTTACCTTACCGGTTCCACATGAAATGCTCTAGTTTACCATAAATCATGACAAAAAGTCTTGATTTTTCGTCTTCGTCATAATCTGATAAATTGAGCTCGGGATGAACTATCCGAGTATCGTTTTATCCAACTCACTTCTAGCAATTGCCTCAATTACTCAATTTTAAAATGAGCAATCTTGTTTCTGAAAAATTGCGAGAATAGACGTTAGGGGTTTAAAGTAAACTCACTCCTGTTTTTTTTTTTTTTTTTTTTTTTTTTTTTTTATAATGCTTTACCAAGACCGCACTTACGCTTTCTTGTTATCTTATGAATAATTGTTTCTCCAGCATTTTTGCGAATGAAACATTTGTAATATTTTAAGATTCTTCGATTTTCTGGAGTTTCTAAGAATTTCTTAAGGATAATAAAGAACTAGTATATATCATTATAAAAAAAATCATGCAAACAGCTGAACTTTATTATACATCCGAGAGGGTTGCTCAAAAATGAACATGGAAGATAACATTGGAAGACATAATCACTCATTTGTCATGCAAGGGGAGGGAAATCAGAAAAAAAACGAAATGGTGATTACCATATTTTTATTTTTCCATTTGTAAAAATAGCATGATTTTGAGAAAAAAAAATAAATGTTTCCTGTACATTAATGACAGGCAGGCCGCTATTCCGCAGTAACATTTCTGCCGTTTTCTAAACATTAGATGATAGAGAACGCAGATGAATATTAGATTACAGTTACAGTGCGTAGGGTTAGATTCTCATAATTATAGGATTCCCTGCCATATTTTCTTGTTAATTGCACTGTTCATTGCACAATATACAATAAATACATTATTAAGCCAACAATGTGACAACATGAAATGCACCCACACCACTTTATAGAAAATGTATTAGATATATAACTTTAAAAGTGCGACATTGAACCTGTACACGATTTATATTTAAAAAAATAAGTATGACTATTCATAGTGTGTTGCAGGGGTGAAGGTGTAAAGACACTCTATGGAACTGTGGCCCTGCCTTTGGTGATGCCCAGCTGGAAGACCTAGCTGAAGTGAGATCGGATGAAATTTCCGCCGTGTTGACGTTCGGTCTGCCAGATGACATCAGTTCATACCAGGATGGTTTCAGCAAGTTTTATGTTTAATCTATGTTAATCTATTTGAACATAGGAAAACATTTTAATATTGCTTTAAATACTTTTCATTTGCATCAAGCCATTTGTATTCATTAAAAATAACAAATATTCAGCCTATGGGGTGGGGGGGATCCGTTATGGCATCTCCATCTGTCGGTAATCTTTTTTTCTGTTTAGCAGACGAATTTCTGTAAAATTTCAGCCCTGAAACAATCTGACTGGAAACTGAATTAGTCTTGCCTCTCATTTCCCAATAGGGATAAGCATGAAATCACAGAAAAGGGAGACTGGGAAATATTTAATCCTTTCATACGGCCCTTATTTTAGCTCATGTCCATAATAGGGCTTAAATATATGTAGAGAACTGTGGGATATATAAACTTTGTTAGCGCCGTCTCTAGGTCGTTAATTATCACTCTTTTTCGTTTTTTCCATCTGCACTTGTTGCCACTCGATTTTATTGTATATTTTTCTCGCATACTATTGATAAAACTCATATTTCACTAATTCCAATGACTCCAGCACATGTTACTGTACCTCAAACCCTACATTCGTAGGATTACGGTGCTAGCTGGCTTGGCTCCCTATTCCACAACACCGTTAATTTTTCATATTAGATGGTGTAAAGGGTAATGATACTTTTTTCTGACTACTTTACGCTCCTTGTACTCATCTGTAAAATGTTAAAATGACAGGTTCTGTCTTTATTTCCATACAAAGGAGTATATTTATTATGATATACAGCCTTGGGAACAATGATTGACAGACAGACAGAAAAGGGTGGATAGATGTGTAAAAGAGAAAAGGAGAGAGAGAGAAGGGGAAGGGAAAGTAAGAGATAGAGGGAGAAAGGGGAGGAAAGAGAGAGAGAGTGTATAAAAGAAAAAAGAGGGGGAGAGAGAAAGGGAGAGGGAGAGAAAATGAGAGAAATTGAGAGAGGGGGAGAGAGAGAGAAAAGAAAAGAGTGAGAGAAGTTGAGTGTACTGTATGAAATGAAGTGTTGGATAGTTTTCCCTAACTCTCCCTATGCCGGGTAGTGCATTCACCAGCCAATCAGTGTTTATGACGAGCAATGACATTAGCCAAACTCAGACAAGTTACATCTTTGAACCTACAAAAGACGGCTTAGGTTTGCTGCTGCCATGTTGTGTCAGATTTCCCTGCATGACGAAGTGAGCACATTGTATCCATTTCCCCTCACTCATGGATTTTCATGTTTCCACAAAGGTCTCTTTGCTGACCTCTCAATCTCTTCTAAAACACTGACTTACAACTCGCCGCCAGGGCCCAGGTCACCAGTCAGCCAGGGAACAGTCCTCAGGAATTTGTCTTAAGGCCAGCAGGACGTTCAGATGCCACTACTGATGAAATGGAATCCCCAGATACACAGCCCGACAATCCTGGAGAGTCATCGCCTCAAGACGAGGAGGGAAAGGATATTGCATCAGAATCCTTCCCCAAGGTTACTTCCCCGCCCCCCCCGCCTCTCGAACCTGCTTCTTCACCCACTCCCATCGCCGAACCAGCTCACACGGTAGGTATTCTCGGTGCACGTGGCCTTGGTACATAATTACACATGCGCTGATTTATTCATTTTGCTAGTTTGAATATATGTTCATAGTGTTTAAAGCATCTGAATAAGGATTCGTGCATTTGCAACAGAGAAGGTGAATGTACGGGAATGGATCTTTGATTCTCATAGAAATGTTTGACGTATGACTGTATACCGGCTTTGCAGCAATGTTGGTTGGAACGGTACAAAGAGAGTCCTGCACAACCTTCCATCCCACGAGAAGTCCCGGAGACACGTCCGTCTGCCTTCCAGCCTCCTGGGTATGAACCCTCACCCCTCTACACTCCAGCACCCACAGCCCACACTACCGTCAACCCTCGCGTAAAGCCCGACCGCAGTTTCGACCTGAATAGATCCTACGAAACCACCGATACTCTCAAGACTTTCGCGACGCCACCTCAAAACTCGGCTCTGCGGTGCCCCTTGCCAGCTCAGGACTTCCCCGTCTCCGTCATGCCTTCCATGAAGCCAAAGTTCGGCGTTGAACCTGACGACTTTCAGCTGCGTAACTGGGCTGGGCCCATCGATAATCAGCTGGCCAAGACACAGTTGGGCATCCCGCCCCCATGTGTGTCTCTGCCCTTACCTCAGCCACCTCCTCCGCTCAGTCCCTCGGCCTCCATTAGACCCCAGACGCCCATCCGACCCCAGCCGCCCATCCGACCTCAGCCCATTCCAGCCCCGAGGCTTTCCCATGTCCATCCGCATATGGGCTGGAGTTCTGTGAGTCTACCTTACATTGCTTCAGCTCTCCTCCAGACCCACCAAGGGAGCGCCCCCGGCCTCCACCTCGCCCGCCCTGCTCACTTAAGCGCTCCCGCCTCATCGCTGGCGGCGTGGTGGTGCCCCCCTCGTCTGTGTGACCACCGGGAAGCCATGATGAACGGCGGGGGTGGTGTCGCACCCTCCTCCATCTAAGTGATAGCTCCAGAGTTGTGAAGACAAAGTGAAAATGGCATGGCGCTGCAGATCTTTGAACTTGAACCATTAAAAAAATTAATCTGTAGTAATAAGCCAAGGCAAACTTTTTCTCATTTTTATTTCATCATCATTTCATGTACGTTGTGTGACCATGAAACGGATCTGGTTCTCGATGTAGAGGGCCCGGCCAGCAACAGCCACGGAGCACCAGGTTTATTTCATGATGACACCGAACTATGCTGATATGCTTTTATCCCTTCCGAAATGCATAGAAAAGGTAGCGAAGATAATATTAACGACAGAGATGATAATGCAAAGAAAAGTGGCAATGACTGGCAAATTAATGACACTCAGAATCAACTAAATTGGTGGTAACGTTGATTATAGAGAAAAAAATATGCAAGAGAAATTTGCAACACCTATAAAATCGCAATATTAGAATAATGAGTGGAAGGGAATCCAATTTTCGTAACAACGATGAAGAATAATAACTGTTACGATATTGATAATAAGTATAATGATACTACCAAATCTAGCCCCCCTGACAGTGCCAAAGATGGAACATTAGAGGACTGAGTCAGCTGACCTTGCTCAGCGACGTCATTGCACGACCGCGATGACGATGCCATGTACCTGTAAGAGCCGCCGTGTCTGACCAGAATGCACTCTGTAACATGTTTTCGATCTGGATGAATGGTTGCCATTGTGCCATAGAATAAATGACGCGTATGTTGCTGTCAAGCCAAAGCTCCGGGATGAAAGGAAAATGTGACTGAGAATGCTTTGAGGCTACGTCGTTCATGTGATATTATATAATGCCTGTGATATCCTGATGTTGTTGTGATTATAAAATCCACGTTCATGTGGCAGACAGACTGTGCTTTTTTATGAGAACGAGATTATCACACTAGATCGTTGTGATTCGGATGTAAACTTCATCTTGCAGCTTCACCTTGAACTGGAGATACTGTGGCATACAGATGGTTTGTCTTCCCACGCCGCAGTTATAAAGCTTCATCCGAGATTGTAGAAAATAATTAAACATAAAAGAACTAAGCCGAACGAGTGTGTGTTAGAAACGTTTGAGGTTAATTAATCAGAGTGATGTAATAATGTAACATGTGTTTAATATTCAGCAGTACGATGCAATAAGAAATAATAATGATTTGAAATGTTTCACATAATGGAATAATATACCATTTCAACCACACTGATTTGAATTCTGCATCAATAAATGCTTCTTTATGACGCACACGAAGCTCTGGTATGAATCTAAATTGATGCTTATTTTTAAGCAATCTCCTTTCAGACAAGTATCGAAAAAAGTAATCTGTGAGTCTTCCAACCAGTCAGAAAGAACCAGTCATAAATGTTTCAGATAGGGCTCCAAAGGTTCAAAAATGCAGACGCCATATTGTACCTAACCTAAATACATCTATAAATTATAAAAAATTACTAATTTTATATAATGATTACTTACGATATTTTAACAGGATGTATCTGGAATAACGAGAATCTCAAATCATAACGGCCATAAGTTTTGTGAACGTTTCCATTTCATGATCTCATTTCAGTTCGAAACGAGAACTTCAGTAAAGCAGCAGCAGTTAACGAACAAGACTGATCGTGACCCCACGGCCGAAAGATTTCATGTTCTTGGGCATTGCGTCACGTGGAAGTTTTGTGACATTATTTTACTCGCTCTGTTTTACCGGAAGTCCATTGCACTCACATGAGCTACAGATCCCTTCCTTCCAGAGAATGTATCAAAATGTAATTCAGAATCTTTCGTGGTTTGCTTGTTTGCATCGGCAGTCGCATAACCTCATATGACAATACCCCGGGGACAGGAATCCATTTCTTCAGGGAATTCAGATTAGAATTAGTCATTTAGGATCATTAACTCGTGAAAAAATATATTAAAAATGAAGGGCTCGCCTTGTTATGCTGTTAATGGCCATAGCCTTAGTTGTGAGAGCAAAGAGAAGGACGGATTTCAAATAGATTTCTAAGACCTAAAACGGAGAAGGAAGTAGTTATGGTTTGTAAGGCCTGTTATTGCAATTATACTAATGATTTGCTTTACGGACAAAAGAAAATCATTTGTGAGTTGTGCCAGGGAAGGGACGAGTAAATTATTACATTACCTGTTTCCAGGTCTGATATTTTATATTTGAAGTCATAATAAAGATGATAATGCAGACATAAATCTTTCAAAAAAATGCTACTGCCCACAACTTCAACGAGTTCATGGGAAAAGGGATGTTTGATTAATCAGCACTGCATTTTTGCTGCGTACTATATCAAAGTCTCATATTTCATTTATTCAGAAAACTGGGTAAAAAAGGAAATCCCTTATTTTTAATCACAGTCCATGCATTATTACATATTTTTATATAGCTTAAGGCATGCATATTATCACTGGGTTAGACTGGTGAAAGAGTTGTTTTTTTATATCTTCCAAGTATAATTATATATTCAGAAACTCTGCATGTCGGAAACGCACAGGTTTGTGATTATCACCAATAGGTATTCTTGTAGCTTGAGCAGACTTTTCTCACACAGTGCAGATGCTGCCTGAACCACCGGGATATGTGACGTCATCTCTTGGAGGAGCTGTTTGTGAGAAAGGCGCGGCGGTGGGGTGACTGTTTTCGTTGTACCTCAATATTATTGCAACCCTTAATCATATGTGAGGTTCCACAAAATAGTCATACGAATTAGTCGAAGCGACGCTATGCATCATCACGTGAACTGAATAGTGCTCTAAAAGTCATCCAATCTTTAGAATAAGATTGCAAGGAAAACGAGCAGTTGTCATAAACGCAATCACCTCTGTAGCAGAGGTTCCCAGCCGGTGGGTCGTCATCCCAAACAGAGGGTTAGTTGGAGGTCGCATAGGCCAATATGCAAAGCGTTCGTCCAAGTTCGTATTAAGCATATATTAACAATCCATGTCTCCACCGAATATTGCATTACAGTTAGATCAATAAAGCTTGTATGCATTGCTGAATATTGTTGTTTTTTATCTTAGGCTAAAGATATGTATTTAGACATTATAATATAATGGCTGATGTCGCAAGTCGCGGAATGTCGGTTTGAGAAGGGGGTCGCGAATGTTGAAGTATTGGGAACCACTTTGTTCGAGCATGAATTATGAATATCAGCTGACAGTTGCGACTTTACCAATAGGATCTTCATTGACAGTTCTCATTTTGTAAATGAAATACCCGAAACGAATAATGAATTCATAATCATAAAGTGTGTGATCGACAGTTGTTCTTTGCTATCATAATGTCTTGAATTTCGTAATTTTCACTATAATTACATTCCAAGTTAACTAAAAGAGAAATGGCTAGCTGTGGAATAGCAAATTTTGCTAAATTTTTCGCTAACCCCAAGACTGAAGGCGTATAGCCTGGAATTGACGGTGCAATTTTTGTCTTGACAAATGCAGTTACATTTGCATTTATCATATCATAAATTATAGATACTGTTGAATCATTTGGGAAATTTTGGGAAAATGCAATAACAGTTCTCAGATATATGAACATAACGGCTAGATTGCTATTGTTTACTTTGCTTGGTTTGAAAATATGTGTGTGTGGAGAGAGAGAGAGAGAGAGAGAGAGAGAGAGAGAGAGAGAGAGAGAGAGAGAGAGAGAGAGAGAGAGAGAGAGAGAGAGAGAGAGAGAGAGTAAGTGAGAGTGTATGTATGTATATATTATATATATATATATATATATATATATATATATATATATATAATCAGACGCATACACACACACTAATATATATGTGTGTATGTGTTTGTATTTTATGTGTGTGTGTGTATTTGTGTGTTTGTAATATACATACAAATGGATGTATTTATAAGCAGTTGATCAGGCACACTTTGCTCGTTTTCTTGTCTTAGTATCTCAAAAGCTTTGCTAAACCACAGTGTCTTACAACTACATTTCCTCAGTTAGGAAACATCCTAAATTTGCAGCAATTGAGTAACTACTGTTACTTAGCACTTCAAATACCCTTGAACCTCCCACACGTTAACCACTGCATATTTCTTTATCAAATTGTTTAGTCAGCTCTTAGAAATGTATTGTCTAAAAAAAAATCTTTGAGTCAGTCCTGGAGGCATATATCATTGATAAAAAACGTAAAAAGTGCTACAGGAGAGAGTTGCATTGACCAATATGGGGGCGTCGACCTCGGCGTTCTTTTTATCAACAATTTCAGGATTAGCCGTGATCCTAGATTGACAACCGATAAGGCCTATTAAAAAGAAAAATTCCGTTTCCCATGTGCCCGTAACTGAACATCGATTTTTTAATGCGCCCAAAGAGCTCGCCGTTGGCAAAATGTTTTCGCGTCCAATCGGGAAAAACGCAAAATCAACTGAACGGTCGACCAGACAAAACGTTTCGCGGAGCGTTGCGTGGCGACTAGGGCGAGAGTTAGAAGTGGTCTTGCCACTTCTGGATGGGATCTGTCCTCGAGCTGTAAAACTAGCAAAAAAACTGGTGTACTATGTATCGATCCAACTGTTACCTTTATGTCCATTTAGTTGGCATTGTCTATAAAATGGAATCTTATTTGGCCTCGATACAATAAAAAAAAAATCGTGTGCCGCATTTGAATTTTGAAAAAGTTCTGGGGTTATCGGCCTAAGACAGAGTTAGTGATCATATGCTAATGCATTATTATTCAGTGGGATCAGCCATTTTCGTTCCATCTATAGAGGATTTAATCAATATCAATCCTTGGCCCAGCCGTAAAGATGCAATGGTCCGATGTGCAACATGCTTTTGCTGACCGGCATTTATCACTAAGCCTAGTCCAGACCAAGATAAATTGTATCGAAACGGTTGTGCAACAGTGTATCCATACTGCCCCGATACAGTTGCTCTACATCTTCGTAGCGTTCCAAATTTGTTGCATAGTTTAGCGACTAGGGAAACACGATCAACTTTGTCTAGCGACTGGTGCGTGACAGTCGTGAAACATTTGCGCAACTTTGTATCTGATTTGTTTCACGAAGTGGCAGCTGCAGAGCGTGCCGCAAAATACAAAATACGAGGCTGTGGACGGTACTAAACTACGTAAGTCAATATATTTGCGTGATAGGCTAAAACATTTTTTCGACAGCAATAAACTACGTATCAATACAATTCTGTGATAGGCAACCAGTGTTTTTTTCTGACAGTGAGTCAATACCTATGCATGATAGGATATTTTTTCAGGCTTTTTCCTCTTTCCTGCTTTCGCAATGCCCCAAGACTAGGCTTTAAATAGGCAGTGCTTAGTCTGCAGCATATTTCACGTATCACTTCAGCATAATATAGATTCCATAAATTATACGACCTGCACTATTCCCAGTAACCTCAAAACCCATCCAGAAGCCTACTGATCAGTGATTACCAGAGGACGATGAGTCGTGTTGTGTATCGTGTCTCCCATATTTAGTGGGAAAAGCAGAAACACGGAACGAACAACCATTGCGAAACAAATTTGGATTGCTGCTCAACTGCAGAGTGACTCTTCAGATACTTTTTTTGTAGTACTGTTGCTCAACAAAGTATCTTGGCCAGGGCGTCGTTATGAAATCATGTTTCACAATTGTTTCGAAACAATTGCGAGACATTTATGGATTTGTTGAGGAACTGTTTCAGATACTGTATTGAGCAACAATGTATCTTGGCCTGGACTAGGCTTAAAAGAGGTTTCAACACAGATATGAACGCGCACTATGATCGTGCTCTGAGCTACACAACCTTGACTTATGGGAGTGGACTACTAATTGATGTAATTTTCTTCAAATTAATGCTCCATCCCGGTATGTTCTGCACTGTGCATCAAGAATTCAAAGAATTAAACTAGGATTAGAACAGGTGACCTAGACTACTTTGCTTCCCATTTATATATGGTAGTTTCTTCCTGTCTGTCAGAATCGAAACTTCATTGTATAGTATTGAACTTTTACCAGTGCACACTGTTATATACAAGTTGACTCGCTAGCTTTCAGGTGAATAATCTTTGGTGCATTAGTAGTACATGTCATGAACATTTCTCTGATCCCCAATGGCGATTGAGTCTGGCACTCCCAAGGCAATAAATCTCACAGACACAGAAAAGCGGATTTGACAATTACGCCCATCTGCTGCACGTGGATCGCTGTACGTCAAATAACAACTTCCACCCGCCCAACTTAGCTAGGTTGCAGGTGTTGTACACTTTGGATTATCAGACCAAACGGTTATTTGCATCATGTATAGATGAGTAGGAATTCTTCTAGTAGTTTTTTTTTTTTCTCTCTCTCTCTCTCTCTATCTTTTTCGTGTACCTAATGTTCCTCTACAGAATTTATTTCATCACTAATTTCGTTCCACATTTCTCAGAGGATTCAGAGTCTCTGCCAATGGACGTCGCTGAACATTCGTCGATCCGGGGTTCAACGTGCTGGAACCAATCGTCACTATTCCCTAACAGCGAGAGCTGCATTCCGAACAAAGAATGACATATCCAGGGAAAATGTTGATTAAGGATGATATTGGTTAAGTTGCTCCACTTATCGCTACTTCTAGACAGCGGCCACATTCAGTGCTAGTGTTGGTGCCAGTGGACTGGGTGTTCAAAACATGCCTTCCCTCACCTTTCCTGAGAGAGTTTATTGAATGTAAAGAGAACAAAATGCATTATCGTAATATTATTAGTGATTGACCGATGTCACCCATTTCTCTGTCACTGCGCTTTATATTTACAGAGGCATGACTCAAGAACTGTTGAGAAATAAACAAATATTATATAACATTTTCTACTCGTAATAACCCCACGATTCTCCTGGTAATTCCCAGCAAGGGTCAGTTGCCTGCAGTTCAAGTCTCGTGATACAATGAATATAACTAAACTGTTTTATTTTTGCACGTTTACGTATATAACTCAATTGGTCATGGTCTCGTGAGTGAAGGAACATAAATGAATAAATAAAATGAAATTTTAAGTTGCACGTTTACGTATATAGTATGATGAACAGATTTTGTCCGCGGCGCGCGCCATTTGGTATGTTAGTTGTATCAGTAGTGATATCAAAATATAAAACAGAATTACAAAATAGCTGCTGCTTTATTGGATGCGTATCATAATGCGTTTTTTATACCGGATTTTTTCAGGTTTATTTCATAATTGTTATGCTTTAAATTTGGGTAAGAATGATTAGGGTTAGATATGACTCAGATTTTGATGGCATGGATTTATCTGCGACTTAAAGATTAAGATATAACCTGGAAAATCGACGTTAATAGTTATTATTGGTACACGCAATTACACACACACACACACACACACACACACACACACACACACACACACACACACACACACACACACACACACACACACACACACACACACACACACACACACACACACACATATATATATATATATATATATATATATATATATATATATATATATATATATGCTCTCCAATCATATATACAGTACGTCCTGCAATAAAAACAGAATAATAGTATATCAAAAATGCAAATGCCAATCGCTAATCATTAAAGGTCCTCAGTTCCCTTTCTCTGGTGGCTGCACCGCGTTCCGTCTCCGGATTGCTTGCCCCACGTGCTCGGTGCCATGAAAATTTGAGGTCAATACTGCTACTTTCTGTTATGGTTTGAAAAACATTGCTAAACCACTTATGATCGATCGTTATATTTCGCCACCTTTCTGGTGAGAGAATAGGTAACATTCTGCTTCTATGAGTGAATTAGGAAAAGAAAAGTGGATGGCATTGAACACATGTAAATGTTTATTGTTTTAATTAAAGTGTAAGAGAACTCTAACATTGTAGTTAGAAACCAGAAAATAGAACCGCTCCTTGAACAATTCTGTGGGGTCAGTTCTAATGATGTCGCAGCTCTCCTATTGGAACACCACATATCCGGAGAGATTGTTCCACCTGTTTAGTTCCCATGAAACTTTAGCAAAGATTACTTTTATCTTTACCAGCCAGAAGACTGTCAGAAACATTTAAATGCCCAATGAAGGGCATTCATTACCTGAGGAGATTATTAATATCTTGAGGAATCAGACATAGTGTCTTAACTATCCACTCAACCTGTTTTATTCCAACGTACACGGACCGGGCAGGCAGGGGCCTCTGGAGCGATTGCTCGCACAAAAGACGCTTCCTCAGGAGTGAAGCGCGAACGGACCGAGGCAGAAGCCGCTCTGCAACATTTTATGTTGACCTTTTGGCGCAGAAAACGAGGTGGCTTCGAAAACTTATATTCTGATCATGGACTGCGAATGTACGTTCAGGTAGTTCGATGAAATAAGACACTAGGTATTGATACAAAGAAAGGATTTAACATTTTGAGCTTCAGTAGATTTCGCAAAGCATGAATCGGAAGATCAGTGATTGACTGGTTGTAGACAAATAGTCCGTAATAAGTTAATTCGTAGAGTATTACTTATGATCCGCTTTTTGTCATTAGTTGTTAATTTCTTTCTAGTCGCTGTTAGAACGGCAACTCTGCTCAGAAAGTCCAAAAATAATGCAGTGAAAATCGTGTCTGTAAATGCTTTTAGTAT